TCTGACCTGAAAGAGAGAGGGATACCATGCATGAAATAGTGTAATAAATCATGCAGCCTTAACGGTTATATTTTTTAGTGTGAATTAACCATTCCACTGACTTTTGAAATTTCCGTACAAAGCCAAAATAATGTTGTCATTTTGCAGTTGCGCTTTTAACCTCAACTAGTACGATCATCCTACGTTACTAGCAGGCTTCTATTGTGGGACGTGGGCCAGTACATATTCAGATGGTTAATTAGAAAAGAATTCTAATCAAGAATGCATCTTGATAATCTCGTTTCTACGTTTACATGATCTAAACAGACTATAAAAAAATATGGACCATAATGGATAGAAGCCTGGAACAAAACAAATTAATAAACGATCCCAGTTCCTTCTTCAGAACACAACAGAATTTTTGCTCTAACTGGTTCACCGCTGTGAGTTCCGGAAGCTTCACATATTGCAGTGTTTCGTTACAGGCTTAAGATGGTGTCTTCTCTTTTTTCCTAACAGCCTTTTCGAAAATAACTCATAATTTGATGTGATTCTTCGATCTCAAAGGTGGTCCTTGTTGCCATAGCTAACATATCTGAACTGTCCATTCAAAGGAGCTTTTGATCTATGTCTTTCAGCGGTTGTCGATAATTTTTGTCCGTATCGGTAACAAAGCGTGTAGACCATAAGCAAAACTTTCACCATTTTCTCCTAATAAAACCTTTACCAACTCTTTGGGCTTCCTAACCATGTATAAAAACATTTTTTTAATTGATTGATCGTTATGGGCCAGAATCGATCAGCTGATTAGGAAATGTGTATGTATCGCACAGATTATTGAATATGCATACAGACGAAACGTCACACAGAAATAAACCGTTTTAATGTCAAGGCCTTTAAGACAGCTTTAGTACAGATTCAACGATTTTCAAATCGACGCTATTGCACATCTTTGGCAGTAGCAGCTTAAGCAGCGGTTCGTTGGCTGCCTTTACCAGTTCAATTATGATCTGCTTTGTGACGATGGGATTCATATTGTTTAAAATTCGCCAGCATACCTCGTGCAGCAAATCCTGAAAGCATTTTCAGGTCGCCCAATGGCAGACATCGTGAAAAAGACAACCTTTAGCTGTAACCTGTGATCGACGACGACCGTACGACGAAGCAGCACAAGTCCTTCACTGTATAACAATTTCAGCTGACGTGGAACATACCTGGCAGCAGTCGACCGCTGAGGACCGTGAACGACGGACAGTATCTTGATCAGGCTTTGAAGCTGCCAATCGACGGACAGTGCGAGTGCCAAGTTCTACAACAGACGTCCAGTGCTGTCATGCGTTTCGTATCAACGGA